ACCTGAGGACACCTGAGGGACACCTGAGGTACACCTGAGGTACACCTGAGGGACACCTGAGGACCACCTGAGGTACACCTGAGGGACACCTGAGGACCACCTGAGGCACACCTGAGGGACACCTGAGGCACACCTGAGGGACACCTGAGGACCACCTGAGGCACACCTGAGGCTGACCTCTGGCCTCCCCACGTGCATATGCGCACCAGCACCTGTACACAAACACAAGGAAACAATTTCAATTTAATAATGACAAAAAAGAGTGTAATTTTAAAAGTAAACCTAACTACACAAATTTAGAAATGTAATGCTCTAAACCTACAAAGAGAGCTCGACAGAAATGGAAAAATATCCTTGAAGATCCTAAGAGTCGATGTTAAAATGAGGTCAATCCACAGCCCTAAAAATGTTTCTAAAGCCCAATCCCCGGATTTCCAGCTGGCTTCTTCACAAAAACTGAACATTAAAATTCATATGGAAATGCAGGGGATCCAGGTCACGATGGCTAACACCTTTAATCCCAGCACTCTACAGGCAGAGGCAGGAGGATCTCTCTGACTTAAGAGGCCAGCCTGGTCTACAGCACAAGTTCCAGGCCAACCAGGGCCACTTGTGAGGCCGTGTCTTAAAAAAACAAACAAACAAAAAAAAAAAAACCCAAAGGGACCCAGAACAACTAACACAATCTTGAAAAAGTACAGCCAAGTTAGAGGGCTTGTGCTGGATTTCAGATCTCACAGTACTCCAGTCTGCAGTAATGAAGTCAGCATGGTCGGTCCTGGCACACAAGCCAACACAAAGGTTTGTGGGATACGACTGAGAAGTCATAAACACACTCTCACACAGGCAACTACTGAGTTTCACCACGGCTACAGAGACAATTCAATGGGGGGAAAGACCTCTCCAAGAAATGGAGCGCAAACAATTGGATAGCCACATGCAAAAGAATGAACCAGGACCGCTTTCTCACGCCGCATGCAGAGGCCAACTGAAAGCGAACCTAACATCTAAACATGAGGCCAAAAACTATTAGATGCTTAGAAGAAAAACCTAGAAATACAACTTCATGGCTTTGGACAGGCCATGGTTTGCTGGCTGTAACACCAAAGAGCCACAAGCCATATCCTACAGTGGACATGACTGGAATTAAAAATATGTCCAGAATCAGAGAAAAAATGCAGATATACATATATACATATATATATGTATATATATATAAAGGACTTATATGTAGACTACATAAGAACTCTCAGATTTTGATACTAACCTAATGTAAAAGTCAAAAGACAGGAATAGATCTTTCTCCAAAGACATATAAAAGACCAGTGAATACATGAAAGTTGTTCCTCGTCTTTAGCTGTAAGAAAAACACCAATCAAAATCAGAATGAAATACCATGTCCTTCTCCTATGATGACCATACAGAAAACAAAAATGTCAGGGGGCTGGGGAGATGGCGTAGAGTAAGATCACTTGCTGCACAAGCCTCAAGACCTGAGTTCAAATCCCAGGACCCATGTAAAAAGCCAGATGTGGTCATGCATACCTGTAACCCTGATGCTGAGGAGACGGAAGGATCGCCAAAGTTCCGGCTGCTAACCTAGTTCCTGGTCAGCTGACAGATCCTGCCTAAAGGGATTAAAGCCGTGACGGAGCAGAACACTCAACATCCTCCTTCCTGTTCAGAGATACATGCACCCTCCCCCAAACACAAACAGGTACACATATACTGTATACATACACCATACACTCATGTACGTGTGACTGTGTGCGCACACACACACACTCACACAAATATTGGGGAAACCAGAATTCTCATAACTACTGGTAACAATGTCAAATGCTAACTAAATGCTTAAGAATCTAAAGATGAAGCCGGGCGGTGGTGGCGCACGCCTTTAATCCCAGCACTCGGGAGGCAGAGCCAGGCGGATCTCTGTGAGTTCGAGGCCAGCCTGGACTACCAAGTGAGTCCCAGGAAAGGAGCAAAGCTACACAGAGAAACCCTGTCTCGAAAAAAACAAAAAACAAACAAAAGAATCTAAAGATGGACTTATTATATAACCCAGCAATTCTACCGAGTGATGTAACCCAAAGAAATGAAAATATGTATCTACACACAAAAATGTTTACCACAAGCGTTCGGAGTGGGATTAGTTGTAACAGCCAGAGTAGAAACCACCGTCAATCCACTAATGAACGGATAAATTCAACATGCAATACAGCCACACAAGAGAGTATTAGTAACGAGTGAGCTGAATTACCAATGTATGACTGATACACTGTGGGTGAAATCTAAATAGCACTGTTCAGGAAATAAGTTCAATAGGACCTCATATTGTATAACTTCACTTAAAGAACTATGCATTATAGGCAAATCTACAGAGACAAAACAATCAGCTTGAGTAAGTGAGTAGACGATGCCTAGTGGGGTGCAGGCTTGGAGGGTTATGAAAATGCCCTGACATTGATTGTAGTGAGTTTCACAATTCTTCCACTATCCTAAAAGCTACTGAATTGTATTCGTTACGTGGGTAAATGGCAGAGAATTCTTCCCCATGAGTACTTAACTTTTTATTTTACCATTGGTCTTAGTTCCTTGTGTTATTATAAACAAAAACCACAGACTGGGCAACTTAGTAAATAGAATAGTGACTTTATTGTTCACAAAGGCGTCTCTTGGAGACACTGAAGATTAGACCCTCAGCATAGCAATAAATGAACATGACCATCAGAAGAGTTACATGATTATTATTGTTTGTCTCCCAGTACCTTTACGAGTTATGTTTAGGGCGAGAGATGTAATTCTTGCTTCGAAGGCATGAGTCCTGAGATGAAGCCCCAGCCCCCCTACCAAAAGAGGAAAAGAAAGAAAAATGTCTCTGTACTATACTGGTGGCAAGCTCACAGGAAAACTGCAGTGTGTGTAAAAGTAAAGTGAGGTACACACATGAACTACAAGACTTTGTTGACTGAAGTTTCTATAGCCTGAACTGTTGAAGAAGAACAATATATGAATAACATATGCTCCGAGAACTGCAATATAGCAAAAAGCAAGACAAGGTGAGCCCGGAGCCGGGTGTACACATCTGGTGAGGACCTGTCATCCCGTGGCAAAATAAAATAAAATAAACAAGAGAGGTCAACACAGCAAAAAGTGACTTCCATTAGGCATCTACTACCACAGATGTGTTTGGGGAGACACATTCAATCCACAGTACCACTTGGCAATAAATATTTTTAAAAAACCAATCTGCTTTAAGAGAAAGGTTCCCTACGATGGGATATATTTTAAAACTTACTCCCAACTAGAAAAGGCATAATCAAGGAAAGTCCCAAGTATGCCAAGTCCCAGGAGCAGGGATGGAGTGAGTGAGGGCCTTGTAAACGACCCATCTGAGGTAAACACAGCACCCTTGAATGTGTGGATACCAGCAGGTACAATCAGTCCTCGTTTGCTACAGCTTTGGTGTGCCGGCCAACGTGATCCACCGTCATCCCACGGCATTACCACAAAACGTACAACATCCCTAAAACGGGAGAGTCTTTGCCCATGATCTCCGTCCAGTGTCAACTGTTCTCATGACGACAGGGGATGAGAGCATCATGGTTTGCTTTGATCAGGTGAATTTAAAATACCTTCTTTTAAATTTAGCTTTAAAAATAAAAATAAAAAAATTTATTTTGGGGGCAAATGCCCAAAATTAAAATCCCAGTTTAGTCATCATCTCATAGCTTATAACATTGAAGCTAAAATATTCACTTTGTCTGGAAAGGAAAAATAATTATTTTGAACGATATGAAGTAAAATTCTTTCTATTTAGCGGTATTCATTGGTGACGTTGCCTGAACCCCCTTGGTCTCGAGATGTGGCCCAAACACCATCGGTCTCGGTCGGTCACGTGATGTTACCCAGGCTGGCCTGGGACTCAAGAGTCTCCTTTGTCAGCTTCCTGACTGCTGGGATTACTGGTGTGACCCGCCACACCCAAGTTAATCCTTTGTTGATTGTCAGTGGGTTCGAAAAGTTGTCTAGGAGCTAGTTTATTCAACCTCAAATTCTGAAATATAGAAGATACTTGTGGAGATGGTTGTTCAACCTGTTTGAAAAGAAAAATTAAAGTTAATTTTATAAAAATAGACCTTGCCTACCATGGGCAATCCCATTCCCCCCTGACTGCTGCTGGAGAAGAAATAATGCATGCCTCACAATCCTTGAAGGCTTGAGCAACCCACCAATGGGCTATCTGCTCCTTGGAAGATCATATCTGCTACTGCCCCCTGTAGCATCCCATGTACCTAAGGGCCTGACATGGAGAAGTACATGTGTGTTGCCTAAATAAAGGCATCTAACTTCTAAAAGCAAGGGGTAGGGCTTACTATGTAATTTGGGAGCAAGGCACAGAGTTACAACGAAGGATCCCTGTGCAAACATTAAGAACTTCAAGACGGAAAGGAGGCCCTAAGTACACAGTCCCGTACAACGGCACATCCATGAAGACAGCGCTGGTGTGGTACATGAAGCACGGCAGTGCCAGGATCACACTCTTCCTGCTTCTCGTGATGCCCAAGCAGCAGCCACAAGACCAGTGTGGCCCTCAGTTTTTACCATCGTAGGAAAAGGGAAAAGAAATAGAACTCATTCCTCGATGCTGTTATCTGTACATTTTTAGAGATTGGGCGTGGCTCATCAATCACTTCTACGAACTTGCCTGAACTTCTGAAACCTGGATTTATTCTAGGCATCCCTACAAAGGCATGATTTAGTGCGATAGTTAAGCCGGTGAACTCTGATATGTGGATTAAGCTCTGCGAGGTGGGTGGGCCTCATCATCCAGTCATCTGAAAGCCTTACCAGGAAAAAGACCCTTGTTCCCCAGGAAGGTCAGTACCTGCCCACTTTCAAGACTCATACTACAGCATCATCTACATTTAAGTCTACAAATCTCCCACTTGCGGGTCTCCGCAGTCACTTGAGCAGGTTCCTTCCAATGATGTCCACTTGGACAGCCACTCAGATCGACAGACAGATCATGCCTATGACTGTCTCCCTGGGAACCTGGACTAACACAGGGGCTGACCTTCCCTCGGCCATTATTATGACTGTCTTAGCTACCTTGCTTTTTATATTACAATGTACATTTTATAGAGACCTATTTTCTGGAAATAGTTGTTTTATCTGATAAATTTAGCAGTGTTCGCTCAGATATCTGTATCAAAAAATACAACTGTGCTTTCCATTTTCTACTTTCGAAGCAGGCAAGACATCAGGTCAACATGTCCCTTCAGGAATTTTTTTTTTAAACCCCAAAGCTGTTGATGTACTAGGAAGCATGAAAGCAAGGAGGGGTTCAGACATTCGTAGTGTCACTCAGACCATAATGACATCTGGGTCAATCAGGAACCGTATATAATATAATAGTAGTCCCCTAAGATCAAAATAGAGCTAAAATTTTCCTACTGACTAGTGCAATGCGGTAGCCACAGATTTGTGGAGCTGGTGATGTAAGCCTGCTGATATGGAAAGTATATAACACTAGACAATGACTAAACTTCTAGGTGGTGCCTTTATTATTTTTTTTAATTTAGAGCGATGGTTCTCAACCTGTGGGTTATGACCCCTTTGTGGGTTGACTGACTTTCACAGAGGTCGCCTAAGACCATCAGAAAGTACAGATATTTACATTACGATTCATAATAGCAAAAACACAGTTAATGAAGTAGCAATGAATATAATTTTGTGGTGGTGGTGGGGGGGGTCACGACAAAAGTGTTAGGAAGACTGAGAACCACTGATGTAGAGTATGATCCACTTACATTTTTTTTCACCCCATCAAAGAGCATGTGAGGCGCCCTCACACAACTCAGGCTTACTGCTGTGCACTAAGAGGCCACGCGAACCACAGCCATCTACGCTAGTGTGAGCATACACGGAGGACATTGACACAACAATGGAACATGCCTAAGGAGGCATTTCTCAAAACTTATCCTTGTAGTTCTGCCATGTATGTCTTCGTGGGTAGAATTTAAATGCTGGTATGGCTTTTAGGTAGAAATGTGAATTTGAAGGAAGGTCATATGGACAGCCCTTGTCATTGGATTTTTCTCTCAAAAATGATATATTCATCTAGAGTTATGGGAATATAGAAGTCTCTCATTTACCAGCCCTAACGTTCTGAATTCTGTTTCCTTGGTTACAGGGATTCCCGTAGATGCTATATACTTTTGGCAAAGCCTGTGAGAAAAAACATCATCCCCCTTCCACGAACAAACTTTGGGCTGATGTCATCAGGCGAGGACGTGAGCCAGCAGCACACGGCAGTCCCCAATTTCACTCTTACGTTCACAGATCTGCAATACTGGCCTTGGTCAAAGTAGGAAGGCTCCAGCAGACTTGGGACTGGGGGCTGGGTAACACTGCCATTTTCTCTTCTGTACCAACACACGAAATCATAGCCCTCACCCAATGTTGGTGAGAAGAAAAATATAACTCAAGAAATTTTTCTTTGAAGGCTCTTTCTTTAGATTTGTCCCTTTACTGCTCTGGTCAAAAGCCTTGCTTCGGGGCCTCTGCAAGGTTACTTTCACGGGGGGAAAGGTGTCATACACTAAGATGGAAATGCCATATCAAATGTCATATCTGCACCCACCGGGGTGTAGAATGAGGCTTAGAATCACCACGGGTGCTTCTATTGCCATGGAAGAAAAAGGACAGTCTGCTTCCCCACCAGACATGTCGCTAGTACTAATTCTGATTAATGACACCTGGCTCCACGCTATGCCCAGGCCAAACACGTGTGCGCCATTCCTGACTCAACCCCAGCCATACCTCGCTCATCTTCAGGACCCATCAGCTCGGCCCTTGGCCTCTCTCCTCCTTCCCTGTTGTAAGCACCTGACTTCTAGACCAATCACTGTACCCAGGGTTTCTTTATGCTAGGAACTTAGAGTTTCTCCCCTAATCACCATCCATTACATCAAGGTCAAGGGCACCTCCTTGAATTTCAATTCACAAGCACTCAAAATGTTCCTCGGGAGCTCCACTCCAATCAGAATGGACAGTCTCTTCAGAAGACTCTCGGTCCACCCGTCCTGACTGCCCTGTGTCTGCAGCTCTACCTGTCCACTGAATACCGAGCTCTCCCAATCATCGGCCATGGCCTCACAGTTGAACACTTTGACAGGCAGACTCTTAGAGACCCTGTTACATGCCCCGTACCTTCTTCAGGCAGTGGTCATGAGTAACACCCTTTAGAACCTGGGCAGGTTCATCAGCACTTGCTCCTCTGAACTCGTCTCAACTGAACCCCACCTAGCAAACCTGTAGCCGGTACATTAATCCATCAACCGGTAAGCTACTCCTGAAACCGTATGTAGAAGTAAGTTAAAATCCCTCATCTCTAAGCGGAGCAACTATTACTGCCTGCTGGGGGAAGACGTGTGATTTCCTCAAACAAGGTCATCTTGTGTCTCTTCCCTCTCAGGAAATGGCTCTGCTCTTGCCCAAACTGTTTCAGCCAGAAGGCAGGGAATCATTCGGGATTATCCCCTTCTGCCTTCTCCCACCTAGTCACCCTGTTGACGGCTACATCTCCAAAATACAAAAGTCAAAAGGAAGAGATGAGAAAAGAAAAAAAAAATTGATTCCCTTAGTGAATTGGTGAATAACTAGATTGGTGAATAAGTAGATTGACTCAAGCCAAAAGTTGACAGTGAGAAATCCCATGGTGCTGGGAGAGCTAGTCTAGACCGAGAAGCCTCAAGAGCCCACTTACGGCACAGTGGGCCTTTACCCAAAGGAACGAGTGAGCACCCCAGAGAGCAGAGTATATGAGAAGGACGGTGAGCAGGCAATGGGAATAACCAACCAGTTCATCCCCCAGTGATGGATGAGGAAAGAGCAAGCACCAAGTGCAACTTGGGAAGAGGCGAGACACCAGCTGTCTTGAGGTCCTGACGGCACAGGGATACCCCGGCGGAAATAGACAGTCCTGTCCAGGCCCACTGCAGATGGCAAGATCTAAAGGACCCATGAACACAGGGGAACTTCGCTCCTACCATTCGGAATTTACTGGGGCTTTCGTCATCCCACGGGAAGCCAGCGCCCATTCTTTTGGACCCTCTAGGCTTCGCTGACTCCTCATCAGTATCCATATCATTCGAAGAAGCCGACAGCCATCCGTCATCAAAGGTGAACCTCTCCTTGGGGGCTGGAGACGCCTCACCCCCGGAGCTGTCCGCGGCAGCTCTGCTGTCTGGGGTCCTATAGAGCGGTGATGCTGGAGGCTGTGTGCTGGGCGTTCCTCCAAGTCCAGGGCTTGAGGGCTGGGAGGGAAAGTCTGCTGGGGACGCACGGGCACTGGAGAGCTGCTTCTGCAGGAAGTGCTTCAGGCGCGTCTTCCTGGGGAAGCTGCGCTTCCTGATGGCGCTCCTGAGCTCGGACTCTTGCGCGATGACGTACACTCTGGAGCGACCCCGGGTCACTGCAGTGTAGACGTGCTGCCAGTGCTGGCGGCCCGCCTTCCCCACCACATAGGCCACTGTGTTCTCCTCGGACCCCTGCGAGGTGAAAACAGTGGGGGGACTCAGTACAAGATGGCTCCCTGGGGGAAAGTGCTTGAATAACCAGACCCCCCCCCTCATGAAAGCCTGGAGTACGGCTCAAGCCTCACTAGCTAAGCCTGGCAGACACAAGAGGAAAGACAAGGAGACCTCATCTCAACCCAATGGAGAACAAGGGCTCAAGGCTGCTCTGACCTCCACACAGGCACATCTGCACTCATGCACACAAATAGGCACACACACACCAGCAGACACACACACAAGACTAAGAGAGGAGAGAAGTCCGCGTGGTACTCTCATGTCCTTCCCACCTGGCCGACAGGTCTGCATCCATCCACCCGTCCCACAGAATCCATACTATTCATTACCTCAGAACTCACCTTTACGAGATACGTTACCAACATTAGGTTCCACGGGGTCACAGCTGGCTTCCGGTGTGACAAACTCTAAAACAAACTCTAACGACTACACAGAGTGCTACAAGTTCCCTAACCACAGACTTTGAAATGACTGTACAAACCAACGTGGGTTAGGTATGTGTCACACTAAAGTCACTAATAACGGCAAAGAAAAAAGGATACACAAAATAGCCAATAACAGGAGGATATGTAAATATGTACAGACACCACATATGCTGGCATCAAGGGTACATTAAACAGAGAGAGAGAGAGAGAGAGAGAGAGAGAGAGAGAGAGAGAGAGAGAGAGAGAGAGAAGAGAGGAGAGAGAGAGATTGGCTGGAAAAATGGCTCTCTCAGTAGAGTGCTGGTCACAAGCTTAAGAATCTGGTCTGGATCCCTAGAACCCATATGGAAAAATAATAAGTAAATAGATAAACACACAATAAGCAAATAAATAAATAAATAAATAAATAAATAAATCCAAGTAGTCCACAGCTGGAACCCCAGTGCTCGTGAGGCGGAGACAAGAGGTTCTCCAGGGCTTGCTGTCCAGATTGGCAAGCTCCAGGTTTAATTGGAGTCTCAAAGAACAGGTGAGGAGCTAGTGAGGGTACATGACACTAACCTTGGGCTTCCACACACATGTGCTCACACATGCATGAGTGCATCTGACATACACACGAGCACACAGACACATACTCACACATAGGTACGTGCATGCACAAATAATATAAGCATTTCTAAATGGATACCATATATAATTATATATGATCTGAATTATATTAAAACAAGAACCCTGATCGCCCCACATAAAGACAACCTAAGTATGTAACGGACTACATAGCATAAAGGCTTGGGAGACAGCTCCCAGGTAGAGTGCCTTTCTCACACACGGAGACGTGAGTTCCATTTCCAGAAACCGTGATTAAAAAGGAAGACTCAGTGGTGTGTCCTGGTAATTCCAGTCATGGTGAGATGGGAGGCGGACACAGGCAGGTCTCTGAAGCCTGGTGAAGCCATCCTAACTTTATGGCAAAACCAGACCAATGAGAGACCCTGTTTCAACAAAAGCTGAAAAAAGCCCTTGAGGAACCACGCATGAGGTTGTCCTCTGACCTCCACGTGCACACATGCACATGTGCACTTGTACAAACACACACATACATAAACATACACACACATACTTCTGGAAAGTATTGAAATGTTATTTAGCCTGTCTCTAAAAGGCTGCCCTGCAGATTTTCTTTTACTCCTGTATTGTGTCAGTGTTACATCACTTATTTCATCAACATAAGGAAAAGAGAGCAACGACCCTGGGTTTTTAAGTTTAGCAAACCACCTATTCAGAGGGCCTGATCGAGCTGGGAGTCCCTCAGCCTTTGGTTCATAGTTCATGTGTTTCCATTCATTTGGCTATTTTTTTTTCAATAATTGAGTAAAACTGAAATTTATTATATGCCACAGTCGTCCTAGGGACCTCCATGCTATATATATAGCCTCTACGGTTCTATGGGTTGTGGTCTGATTGATCATTTTATATCTAGAATAATATATAATATATATATTATTCTATATATTATATATAGAATATATAATAATATATCTGAATAGGTGAGACAGTTGATTGGCTTGATCAGTTTGGGAGGCATCTAGGCAGTGTGACCAAGTCCTGTGCTCATTCCATGAGTTGGCTGTTTGAAACCAGGAACTTATGCAGGGACACTTGGCTTAGTCTGGGAGGAAGGGACTGGACCTCCCTGGACTGAGTCTACCAAGTTGATCACAGTCCTCGGGGGAGGACTTGTCCTGGAGGAGGTGGGAATGGAGGGTGGGCTGGGGGTAAGGGGAGGGTATGGGAGCTGGGAGAATAGGGGAACCCATGGCTGATATGTAGAACTGAATGGTATTGTAAAATAAAAAATATATATCACAAAAAAAAAAAAAAGAGATAAGCAACAAATTGAAAAAAAAAAAAAAAAGTTTAGCAAACCACGAAGGACACGGGAAGGAAAACTCCCAGTGTCTCTGTGTAAGCACCAGAAAGCAATTTCAGGTGTGGGGCCACGTTCAGTCCGGCCGTTTTGATGGGCGCACACACTAACCGACAGATGACGGAGCGTGTGAACCGCTCTCCACACCTGTCCTGCCCCAAGGTGAGCTATGAGGAGACAGCTGACAAACGGGGCCGTAAAGAAGAGAGCCCAGTGCAAAGTCTTCACAGCAGCTCACCCGTCTCCTCGGCCTCTGAGAGAAACGAACTTCAACGGTCCTCGGTTATGGAAACACTACCTGCATCTTCGATGGACTCCACCTCTTCCCCTTCGACCTTGCGTCCGTCAGGCATCCCTACACATGTAAGCGCCTCCCTCCTCTTACCTGATTCTCCAACACCAATCACATCGAGGGAAAAAGAAAGTCCTATCGGTGTCCCGTGCCCACCTGACCCCGAGCATCCTCCGCACAGCAGCCAAAGTGGTATCCGTGCGGTGCGGGTATCCAAAGTGGTGCGGGCTGAATCACACCGGACTCCACTTGCAACCCCTCCCATGGCTCCTGAGCCTCCAAGGGCCCCCGAGGTCCTTCAAGGGCCAGCCACGCCCTGAGCCCTCTCCCTCCCCATCTGTCTTTTCCTTTATTGTCCCCACAAGCACTGGCTCTGTGGTCTCCACCTCGCTGCTCTCCCTTCTGTGTCCTACCACGGGCTGGTCCACTCCGGGAAGGCGGATCCCACCCAGCAGGCCCCACTTCTTTCATCTCGGGTGCTTTACTACATGACTGACGATGACAAACGTGTCTCATGCTGGTCAGCCGAGCACCGGCTGGCCGCGGTTCTGTACCCTGAGATGGCACCTACCTACCTCAGGGAGCAAGGCACAACTGTCTATCTCAACCCAGTCACCTGCTTCCTGAAGTATTTCTGAGTCATTTGAACCGTCACAATTCTTAAGCACTATCTACTTAATGCTGTAGACTTCCATTCTCTTGATTATTCCACAGGTTGACTACTTATGTGAGTGGCCAAAAGCCTTTGGTTCCCCATTTCCCAAAGAACAAGAACCAAAGTCCTTACGGTGGTCTATAATACGCTGTCCAAAAGACAGACAAAACAAGTCACGTGTGCAATTGAAATTGTCCTGACAGTCACGTTAAAAAAGGAAACTTTCAATAGCCTATTAGGTTTTATATAACATACTCAAAATGTTAATCATGTTTACATGTAGTCAACAAAAAACGTTCTATGAAATCTACTCTTTTTTTTAAAAAAAACGTGTTCTCTTTTAAAAGATTTCTTTTTCATGTGTGTGTGCCGGGGGTGGGGTGGGGGATGTGTCACATGAGTGCAGGCACCCACGGAGGACACAGGCGTGCGGTTTCCCTGGGTTTGGAGATGGGGACAGTTGTGAGTTGCTAGGTGTGGGTGCTGGGAATCAACCCCAACTTCTGCAAGAGCAGTGCGTTCTTAACCTCAACTATGAAGTCACGGCTCCAGCCCCGACATTCTCCTTTTAATCTAAGCCTTTGAGATCCTTTGATTATCGTCTCTCTAAGCACAAATCAATCTGAATAGTAAATCCTCGTCAGAAGCATTAACTGTCATTTGAGATGTGTTAAGTTTCGCAGACGGAACAGAAGAGTCACACTCTCAAGCTGTTCCAATCATACTTAAGAGGTGATCCAGTGGCTGAAGCTTTTTCTTCTTAGATACAGAGAAGGTAACTCAAAACAGTGGAGGAAATAACAAGGCTGACAGCTTAGGAGATTAGAGAAAATTAAAGCAAAAAGGTAAGTCATACCAAGGGGACGTGGTGACATGGTTAGGTCCCAGAACAGGAGAGGAAAAAAATAAAAATGGAAGATCGATCATGAACTCTGAGTACAGTACAACATCAGTAATGTTCTAGCAATGATACAGTAATGGGAATGTTCTGATCTTGGCAAATATGCTATTGTTGTATAGAATACTGACAACTGGAAAAAACTAAAATTAATAACAGCAAAAGAGATTAAAAAGAAAACAATGTGAGGTGCATCATGCTGTGGCCAGTGCTGGAGTCAACCCTGACCTGTTAACCTGATGAGATCAGGAGTCACCGAGAGGACGTATCTGGACGTTTCTGTGAGGGCGTTTCTAGACTGCCTTCATTGAAGTGAGAAGACCCTATCTGAATATGGCGGCATTCATTCGTTGCACTGGAGTCCCAGATTGAATAAAAAAGGAGGCAAGAGAGCCGAGTAGCCAGGATTCATCTTTCTCTGCTTCCTGACTATGGATGCAATGTGACCAACTGCCTCATGCTCCTGCCTCCGTACCCGTCCACCCCGCCATGAGGGCCCATACCCACAAACCGTAAGCCCCAAGAAACTCTCCCTGCAACCTTTGTTGGCCAAGCATTCTGCCACCCCGACGATAAACTTACGAATACAGCCAGGTATCCAAATGACTTTGTAAACACCCGCTCCTACCTGGAAAGTATGAATGGTCCTCGCCCAGGCATGTTTTATCTGACAGTGCGTCATTAGTTTGCTGAAGTCCACGGTCACTTCCAAGCCAGCCTCGTTATTGATGGTCAGAAGTCTTTTTCTTTTGAAAGTGACATCAGTCACATCCTGGGACCAAGACAAAGCATGCATGTGAGAACGATGGTCTGTCTTGGGGTGCAACGTAAGACACAAGCATTATATATCAAATTTAAGAATTTTGCTTGGGGGCTGAAATTGTAGTTGCAGAGCATGTGGACAGTATGTGTGAGGCTCTGGGTTCCATTTCCAGAATGAAGCAACAATAACAGCAAAGAACTTGAAAAGGTTTAAAAATCCATACTTCATCCACTGCCTTCACATTTCAGTATTCCAATGAACAGAAATAGAAAGTTCCAGTCCTTGGAACTTAATACACTTTCCCTCACAGCCCTTTCAGAATATTTTCAGGCTGGGAGGAGGTCTAGACAAGAACAGGAACAATTAATGAAGTTTCGACGCTGAAGCTAAAACTAAGGATGGCTGTGTCTTGCCTTGTCTTTTGTTATTTAAACTTCCAACTTACTACCAAGAAGTTTCCTTTCTGTATCTTTCATAAAGAAGAAAAAGTAATGCTCAACTATTCCCAATTATTCCACTGCATTCTGATATTAATCCAGACAAGACATTGCTAAAAAAAAAAAAAAAAAACCAACAACCTACAAACCAATATTCATCGCAAAGGATATATAAAAATTTCTAATGAAGAAACACTGAACAAGAATATCATCTCTAATGTGATGAACTCTAGGGCTTAAAAAAAAAATCTCTAACTGGCAAACATTATTTCCTATTATGAAACTTACCCCTGTTATGAAAAATATTTCCCCATTGCACAGTCGAATGCTACTTTCAAAATCCTGCTTGGTTTTGAAATCAGAAGGGGCAGCATCAGAGACAATATCAAAGCCTTTCCCGTTGGCTTCCCGGTCATCATTAGGGAGTAAATCCGCGAGGTATGCATTCCGGGTACAACAGATCTTATCATTAACTGCAAAGATGAGTTTCTTGTCATGGTCTCTGTATTGGGAAATGATCACATGTCATCAAAACCTGGAAACTGCCCGCTTTGTTTTATTTAGCGATGCGCATCACTCGGAGCTGACGGGAAATAATGCACATACGTCTCTGCATCACTCTCATGCTCCAAAGGTCAAGACGTCACGCTGTCCTGTCACCTGTTTACAATATGCTCACCCTCTTGCCACCTCGAACCCTTGTGACATGGCCCAGTTCAACTCTCTCGAGTTACAAATGCTGGTGTGACCGCTCTGGCCCATCCATTTTCTAAACCGAAAACCTTCCTTATTCTTTTCAGGCAAATTCACCCTCTCTCCACAATCTGCAATTTCAGGTCTTGGGAGAGCGTTCTCATACTTCCATTTTTAATAATCACGACACTGTCCTGGTGAAACCACTAGCAGTGAACGGTGGCTTGGGCCAGTCACTGCAAAAGCACTTTTTCATTCTGCTCTGACTCAGCCCTTTAGGGACTTCTGCGTAAGCCATTGTTTCGTTTGGAACGGATAGACAAAATTACCTGACAAGAGCATAGTTACTAGGACCACAATGAACGGGTCCAACCAAGTGCGTTTTGAATCCTCTGTTGGGCTACCCAACACAGCTTTTGTTTTTGTAACAGGAGTTCCTATATTTTACACACCCCCAGTGACGTGCCTGTGCTGGCAAACACAAGAAGTGTGAATTAACTTTTCTTATGGGCAAGCACGGTGGCTCAGCTACACTCCTGTTCCTCTGGTCCTTCACAAAAGTGTTCTCTGCACACCGCCTGTGGATCAGGCTCCCGGAACTACCACATCGCATTAGAAATTCTCCAGGTGATCTTGAAGACGTTGGAGGCTGCCCACCTGGACACCACAGAGAAACGATCGTTCCTTATTTTTCATCTTATTCTACTCACAGTCCAAGTCAGTTCCTCATGACATAGAATCTGTCTAATGGGAGGAAAGTGTATGACTTCTGAGTATGAGGCCCTACGTGACAAATATATCCATACAAACGCAAGAACAGCACATCAAGGCAGGGCTGTCCCCTAAGCGTCAGTCAGGAGGGTACTCACTTGATGAGATGGCCTACGTAGTGCTTAGAGCAGCAGTCATTGATGAGGTCACAGTCTTGCCTGAAACACACAAGAGTCAGAGTCACTTCAGGAGCTCGAGGTACATACTCACTGCCTTATGTTTATCAACAATTATATACAGGGCCACTGGATTTTTTAAATTATTGTTTGGGAATTGAACTGAGGGTTCTGTGCTAGCTAGCACTCACACCCCCTGCTGCTACAGTAGATCCCGTAAGATGTTTCTAGGACTTTCTCTAGGAAAAGGTATTTTGTTTTTATTAGCTTCTTTTTTGTTTTATTGAGAAAAGGTTTCTCTGTATAGTCCTGGCCATCCTGAAACTCGTTCTGTAGACCAGGCTGGCCTTGAACTCAGAGATCCACCTGCCTCAGCCTCCCCAGTGCTGAGATTAAAGGCCCGTACCACCACACCCAGCTGGAAAAAGGTGTTTTATAATTTTTGGCTTCACATAAAGTTTTGTTCCACTCACACTTCCTGTGAGAGTATAAATGCGCAGGATAGAAAACCACCCTGTTTAGAATGCCTTCTGACGTGTCTAATGAAAAGATACTTCACAATGGGAATTAATAATGAGAAATTACAAGTTTCTCCCTCTAAATACAATGTGCATTAAAAAGTTGTGAAGTTTAGAAGTTGGATAAAGTATATTAACACAGTATAAATGTTTTACCTTCTAAATGCAATAAATTGTGAGGTTTTTGCACTTTGAAAGTCCTTTCCTTGAAGCAACGTTTTAACTGCAGAATATAAATCTGGCAAAGAGAAAAAAGGTTAACATGGAAAAATTGCCAAACTGTAATGCTACGTCTATGGGAAAATTAGCTGACGGCTCCTACTAATCAGTCCACATAAAACATCTCACCACGTGAAATACAAGGTCACCATGGGAACATCTACGTCCTCCTCGAGATGGGCCATGGCAGTGGAAAGAACGTGAGGGAGGCGTAAGCCCCGGGGTACTGGTGGTAGTCGGTTGGCATGTGATATCTATAAGCTTAAATGGTACCTCATATAATCATAACGTATTGCCGCACTCAGAGCTGAGTCTTCGCTGGTGTCTACCACCTTATATACTCAGATCTTCCTTCACTGGTTCAAGAGTGGCCACTGGCTTAACACGACATCTGCCCCACGTTTACCTCCACTTTCTCTTTCCTCCCCTGCCCGGCCCGGCCCTCCCACAATCCAGCCACTCAAACCTCAGCCCCGCAGCAGGAGGATCATCCCAGTGCTCGGGCCTCGCCAGCTGTGAATGAAGCAGTGTGGTCACTGACTACACTCATCTATGAGTGTGAAAATGAGGCTCGTGGGAGTCATTCCCCAAATGCGGCAGGTGGCTGGCCAGCTCCTTCATCGCTCGGAGGACGGACTATGACGTCATCCGCTTACGACTCTTTCCCACTGTCCCACTGAGGAGCAGGTCTCCTCCAGCCCCTCGGCAACTGTACAAAAAGCACTAACATGTCTCACACGGCAGTACAAATTGGAGTAGTGCAGGAGTGTCTGCCCAGCATGCTCCGGCACTGGCGTCAAGCCTTCTTACCACGGGAACTGGGCACGGTGGCTGGTCCACACCTGATCCCCAGCAAAAGGCCGGAAGTTCAAGGATACATATTGAGTTTGGGACTAGCCTGGTCCGTATGAGACCCTATCTATAGAACAACAACAACTGAAAAACGAAACCAAACCTGGGGCAGCGAGCTGGGCACTGTGGCACACGCCTGTTATGCTAACGTTGGGAGGGAGGCGCGGAGATAAGGAGTTCAAAGTCAGCCTCAGCTCCTCAGCACATTCAACGCTGCCTAGGCTACAATGAGACCCTGCCTCAAGGGGAAAAAAAAGACAGGGGGCAGGCAGAAAGGAACACTGCAAGATTTTGTGTATCATCTAGTAGCAGATGACGCGTGGTGCTCTGCTCTAGAAAGAAAAAGTCAGCTGCTCACAGAGTCCTTCATTTCTTCAATGAAGAAATGATACTCTCCAGAAAACAGCCGACCTCACATTGCCCCCAGTCATCCTGGGCTTGCTAGATCAGAAACTTCCAAAGGCCTCCTATTCCACACCTTGTTTTCCTCTGTCTCTCGGATCCATATGCACTGTGCATTTTACTGATTTTAAAATACAGATTTTAGCCTCTCTGAAATTCTAGCCCAGTTATGGATCCCGTCTTGGGTCTCTGCACTTTGTAACAATGGGTACAATTTACTCAATAACTTATTAATGAGAAAGCGCCATTTGCCTCTCCAAGGAATATTTACCCAATTTTCTGAAGGAAGAGACTAATTTTCCAGACAAAGTTTTTAATTAAAACGGCCAATCGGCTAAGCTCTGCTAACACTCTGAAATGGACAACTTCTTTTTCTTTTAAAACAACATTCTTCCGAGCTGGGCATGACAGCACAGGCCTGCAATCCCAGGACTGTGTGGGTGGAGACAGGAGGATTTGGAGTTCAAAATCACACTGGACTACAGAAGACCCCGGGGCACTCAAACAAAAGTGCATTCCCGTTAATGCACAGAACAGGTACCAAGATTTTAAAAAATGCTTGAGGCCGGGCGGTGATGTCACACACCTTTAATCCCAGCACTCGGGAGACAGAGCCAGGCGGATCTCTGTGAGTTCGAGGCCAGCCTGGTCTACAGAGCGAGACCTAGGACAGGCACCAAAACTACACAGA